TGAGGCAAAAGTTGTTCAGCTTATTTTTCTGCATAACATAGTTTTTTTTGGGATTTTTTAGATTTTTTTATTTTTTTTTTGTGCTGGGACCTTCCCCGGTCCTTGCACGGGCTGGCCACCCGGGACCCGGGCCGCCCGGCTGGTAGCCTAGATCAACACACAATTTTTTTAAATTTTTCTATTGTTTTAACTAGAGATATTAACAGAAATTGTTTTCTATCTGCAATCCAGTAAGCTTTCAAATCAGACAACTCTTTTTTTTTTTTTTTTTTTTTTCACAGATCAGATATTAAACTGATCAGAACAGATACTACACTTGATCTTAGCCAAAAGGCCAACTCTTATTTCCCCTGGTTACGTACAATTGCAAAACATTAAAATAACATAAAAAATTTTAAAATTTTAAGAAGTAATTAGAAAAAAGATATGTCACTCCAATTGGGCTTTCCAACCTGCTAATCTCAAAACTTTTCAGCTTTTGCTACCTGGGCGGCAGAGATTCCGTCATAGTAGAGATGCTTGTCAAGACTTCATTTCTTTTCCTTTTGTTTTTGGCTGTCACGATGCGTGCTCGTCTAAAACCGAAAACATCACCGTTGATGAGAGTCGACTCAACGAAACTTCTCCACGACTAATCCAGCACTCATCCATACCATTATTCCTCCCTTTTATATATATACATATATATCGTCAAATAGAACTGCCCGGTAAACCGTAGGCAGAGAGGGAGAAGAGGACAACATACGAGGGGCTGTGACAAACTGTTTCGTCGGAGTTTCACCGACTCATCAGGAGGCTGAACCCTCATATATATGTATATATATAAAGCAATTAATCGCTACTCGGTTACGAGTAGTGGTAGGTCGTGAAAGGAACAAGATATGGTTCCATGACATGGCAGAATGCCAGTTAAAACATGTGAAGTGAGAGAATATATATATATATACAGGGTTACCTGACCGAACGTTCGGGGGGCCCCGGGCTGGACCCCGAACGTTCGGGCGTTCGGGGGCCGAACMCCTCCAGGTTCGGCCCCCGCCAAAAACATTTTCGGGGCCTAAAAAAAGTCCTTTTTTCTGAATTTTTTTTTGTGCGTTCTCTATGATGTAACCTACGCGCCTATAAATTTTGGCCATTCTGCTAAGCCAAAAAAACATCAAAAAATCGTCAAAGATGGGGGTGTCAAAACGTGCTCGCCCACTCACTATTTTGTTTTTTTTCACTTTTAACTTTTTGTTTTCACTTTATTTCGGGGCCTAAAACATTTTATAAATTTGTGAAAAGTTTTTAATGAGTTATTGATTATGTAAACTACATATCTGTAAATTTTCAGGGCATTTGTCAATGCCAACAAATAATGAAAAATCGGCAAAGATGGCGGTGTCGAAAAGGTGCTGGCGCACTCACTCATTTTAATTCTCTTTTTATTTTTTCTTATTTTTATCATAGTGTT